TAGGAGGCCACACTTACTCCATATTTCACACAGTGTTATATATATAGTCCTCACTTAATGACTGCCCTTGTTTAAAGACCATTCAAAGTTATGATAGCACAAAGTAACTTTACAACTGGTCCTCACACTTATGACCGAGATTCAGGCCCTTACAACTGGTGGGCATTTATTACCATTGTCCTGTGGTCACGTGATCACCATTTGTGTGCTTCACAGCTGGCTTCTGACAAGCAGTCAATGGAGAAGCCAGTGGTAAAATCACAAGTCACAGTCACATAATTTCTCAACAACCATGACTCTTAGCGATGGAGTTGCCAGCCCCAATTGTGGTTGTTAGTGAGGACTACCTGTACATCATATTACATCCTCCATGGTGGTTCTTTTTATTTAAGAAAACTGTTTTGTATGGTATATGACATCCATAATCCTCAGGTATAGATATGGGCAGTGAAGCTATGATCAGAATAAAAAAATACTGAGAAAAGAAAAAATGAGATAGTCAGGAAAAATGACTATTCACCAATATCAGAATGGAACAGCAAAACTATTTTGGAACTAGTGTTTTAACTGCAGAGTCAGTGAAGAAAATACAACAAAGCAAATCTGATAAAATTACTGTTCTGAAAAAAGAACATGCTATATAGTGAAACATATATCAATTGCACCTCCTGGTGGCAAAAAAAAAAAAAAAAGTTAGCAACTTTCAAGGTGAGAATTGTTTTGTAGGCAGTAGAGAGGGGAACTTGTGGCCTTCCAGATAGCGTTCAATTACAATTCCTAGCAGTGCCTGGGACAACTGGGAACTTTAGTTCACCGACAGCTGAAATACCAGATGCACACATCACTGATTTAAAATATAAAATTAGTGCTACTGTATTAGTCCCAGCCACAAAAAGCTGAAGGTAAATATATATTGGGAGCTTCAACCTTTGTGGTCCCATAACCTCCTAAAATGATAAATACCTTTGTGTGTCTCCTTCCAAGAATAAAATGAATGCTTATTCACCAATAGTAAAATGGGACAGCCAGACTATTTTGGGATTAGTTTTTGAGCAGTAAAGCAAGTGAAGAAAATACAAGAGGAGATCTGATAAAAATTACTATTCTAAATAATATGTTCTAGTAAAATATATCTCATTAGGTTTAGGACTCAGCAAGAAACAGATCACTTTTGATAATTAAATGTTCACTTATATATCAAGTAAAATAATGATAGAACCTTGCAACTCTATAAGAGAACATCATTTCATTGGAAATAAACAACGAAACAGATTTAAAACTCATTTTTTCAATGGGAAGGATGAGTTTGTTTTGTGCATCATTCTGAAAACTGGATTTTATTTTTGAGACAACTGCTCATTTCTTATCTACATTTACTTTGATTCAGTATTTGCTCTTTTATAGGTCCTACTGTAGAAAATTCTGTATTTGGTGGTAGCTTGTCTGGGCAGAATGGGAGCAAATACTGGCCCTGAGCCAGCTTTGGGTGCATATGCCATGAGACCTGTGCATGAGAAGCTGGAGCCCTGTTCTGGACTTTGCTTGGACAAGACAGCTGCTGATTTGTCTAGGCTGAGCAGAATGGAGCAATGCCAGCAATCCAGTTGTGTTTCAGGCACTGATCTCTACAGTACTTTGCTTAGATAGGAACCGTAGCCCAACACCTTGGTAAGGCACCAGGTTTGGAAAGGGTGAGGTAGTATTCATCATATTGGAAATGTGGTAGAATCCAGCTGCGTTGGATCTGTCATTCAGCAGGTATTCTCCTTCTTTTCTGTCCCTGAACCCTTTTGTTAGGCTACAGGTACAGGATTCACTCCTCTGACTGAATGCAATAACACAGGTTTTTGGTTTTTGCATTTAAAAATTAAGTTAATTTTTTTGTCACTGAAAAATAAGTTTAACAGTATTAAATAAAGCAAGGGTTTGAATAAAACTGCATCATTCATATCCTTTATTATAACATTATTATATATTATTATGTAATAATCTTTATTGCATTA